TTCAATTGAGAGCTTAAAACCCATGGACTAGTTTATTCTTACACGTATATGTACTTACATAATATAACGATGATCAGGGTATATTTTCATGTCTATCAATCGCATTTCACCTTGCTTGTGTGTAGAGCATTCGGCTACATACTCTACCATAACCGACAGTTGGCAGAAGGTGGTTGAAGCCCACGGAAGTAGGGCTATACTGGTGAGTAAGTTAAATAAACGAGGATAACAGGAGGACTGCATGACCTGCGCGGACCAGAGCTGTGAAGCCATAGCTGTTAGGATGTGATTACCTGGGGGCTATGTTTCAGTAACCCGAATATAACTGGTAAAAGGCTTATAATACACTTTATTTATTGACATATCATTCACCCCTAACTTGAAGAAGGGGCTATTTGCTGGACTTGCTCCTAGGGGCTCTCCGCTTGTGGCTTGCTAGAGGTGCGTGCCGGGTGATCTACATCATATATTATCACTCGGTCTGTTTGACGCACCGGCCCACGACTAACCACCAGATTCCAACACCAACAAGAAAACATTTGGGAATCATACAAGGTGGCAACAAATATACAGACAAGACATCCCCCTACAAAGATAGAATACAAAATAAAAACCTGTATAACCCCGACGAAAAAAAAACAAAGTCGTAGAACACAGACCGGGGAAGGGTCTTCTTTCACGTCGAAATCGTTAAGAGAAAAGGAGACTAAAAAGACCCACACGCCTCTTTCCGCAATGCCGAGAAACGAATATGAACAAGAAAGAACATAAATCTGGGAATTAGTACAGATGCTTTTACAGAACGAAGAAACCCTCCACCCGGCTCAATTGCCTTGTCAAGGTGACAACGAAGGCAGGTTGGGAAATAGTTTGCCTCAGCTGCCGGAGCTAGACAGCCTTGATGCTGATCAAGCCTGCCGACTGCCAAATGAGCGTAATATCTCGTGCGGAATAGAGCCGAAAAAAAAATGAACCTCGGAACCTTGTATGCCAACTGCATCCCTAAAGCATCATACTTCTTCGCCTAGCTCCAATCCCGGGCCCAGGCGGGCCTAATCTCCTTCGTTCATCATCGCCTCCATCCTCACTCGTCAGATGTCCGCTGCTTTTTACACCCCTAACTGTCCTTGCCCCCTCACTGCCAATTGGATCTCCACCAAGCGTCACCCGTCTGGACCCACAAACACCTTCGAAAACCCCTTCGTTATCCTCCACTTTGGTAGATGAAGGTGGAAGATGGCTATAAACCTTTTTCCGGGCGGTGCTGGCGTCAATCAAAGTTCGGTGATTGCAATCAGTAGAAGGGTCCGGACCTTCAGTAGTTACCGTTTTTCGTTTCCCCTCACCATGCCCAAAGGCCGCCCTGGACCTGCCTTCCTCCTCATTCCCAGGGTTCATACCATTAGGTGGGCAGTGCAGACTACTAGTCCTCCTCTTTCGCTGGGAAATTACGCTCGGGGGTAGACCTGACTCCAAATCTTTTTCCCTTCTCTCTCTCTCTCTACTTGGCTTCCTTTCTAATAAACCTCCGATCCCTCTTTCCTTGTGCTTTCTTAGATCCTCCTCCAATCGCGAGGTTTGCGTTGGCAGCGGCATGGGTGGCAGGTTTAGCCATTGATCTTCATCGTCCGCATCTTCTGGGTCCTCACTCTTGACTTTGAGCTCACCCTCTACCACAGACTCCTTACTCCTGGATCTTCCAGCAGAGCTACGCTTTTGAGTCCTACCCTCACCCCTGGCCGCTTCTGCAGCTCTGTCGTCCCGCCTCATCTTGTCGCGCAGATTTGGCAATGCGTAATTGACCCCTGATTTCGCTCGTCTAGAAGCGCGCACGTTTGTGGGTTGCTCGGTATCCGGTGGAGATGGGTCGACATCCCGAGCATGGGAACTGCGGTAGGCTTTCATTGAGGGAGGAGGGGGGAGGTCGACTTTTTCGGGTTTTCCATAGCCCTTCTCATCTTTGCCTAGGGCAGAGGCTATTCTTGCTTTCTTTAATGGTGAATTGGTAGGATCAGAGTTGGTACTTTCTGTATCTCGAGTGTTAGACACGCCCCGACTTTTCAAACGATGTGGGGAGGTATTAAAAAGATGCCGGAACTTACTGGGCCCCAACGCTCGTCTGCTGCTGGTAGAGATGGCGGGCGCAATAGGGGGCGCATATTCTTCGCCAATGGAAACAGAAGCTTCCTTCCTCTTTCTCGCGTCAGAACTCAACACGAGCCGGACTATCTTAGATGGAGCCCCCTCCTCCCTAGCCTTGTGTTGTCCCTCCTGCGCTTGATCTTCCTCAGCGCTTCTAGGCGCATCTGCGGTCCCCGCACTTTCGACTCCCCCAACTGACCTCACTACTTCAATTGGCTGCTCGGATATTTTGGAGAATTTGAATTCCATGTCTGCTACCAATTCCATAACTGCCTCTGCTTCTCGTTCGAACTTGTGCTTGGATGCCTTACTTATGGTGTTTTCGTTTGATGGCGCAGGTGGTTGAGTTTTTGATGGCACAGCAGGTTTGTTGAGTACCCCTAAATCTATTGCCATGGCACTATCTCTCCTCCGTCTCGGCCGGATATCGAGTAAGCTAGAGACGGGGGGTTTCAGGTCTTCATCAGAGTCGTCATGTATGTTATCTTCTAGCTGTGGCGGAGGTAAGTTGATTTCCTCAAAGCTGGGACATAGGGGGTCAGTTAAAACGTTCGCAACCCCTATTTTGTTATGAAATGGCAGGTGTGACCAAAGAACGGGGAGAGGAAATACTTCAGGCTGTTCCTCCTATGCTCTTCCACGTTTAGGCTATTTCGACGGGAACGAGCATCCTCATGAATTGCAGGTAACTGCCCATCATGCATCTCTCCCAGTGTGAGTTGGCTCTTCCATATCCTCTGGTGATGTGAAATTATGTTGGCCCTTGGTTGCCTAACTGCTAATTTTCCTGTCATAAGTTAGTAACTTCGCTCGAATACCGGATCACATGTCGTTTACGACTTTCAAATGCAGCCGGATAACTACCTTCTGGCGATGTCGTTATAGCCTGTTCTAATCCCTTCACAATCCCACCCAACTCTGCAACCTTTTCCTCCAGCTTCTTCTTAGTAGCCTCGACACTCTCTACTACCACTCTAGCCTTTTCACGCCTATCTAACGAAGCCTGTAGTTTGATCACCTGCTCCCTAAGCTCAATGTTTTCTGTGAGTAGACGGGTTGTCTCGTCTTCCAGGTTTCGAATTCGGACTGATTGGGTGGAGTTGACCCTACGGCGGTCAGTATCAACAACCACTCATCCAAACATAACCATTGGGTAGATGAACGATGCGATAGTTGACCGACTAACCTAGCTATTTCACGATTCTGGCGCAGGAACCGCTTCTTGACTATTGCGTATTAAAGACTCTGGTCAGCAATCATGCGGTTCAAAAGAAAATGAATGGGTAAACAAATATAAAGCATAGTTTGAACCATGTTCAATAAGCCAGATATACTGTAAACAAACTTACGTGCTTCCAGCGACTCCGTCTGGGGGTCATTAAGTCTTGCCATGCATTAAAGAGGTGATATAAACCAGCCCTTGAGTGGAGGATTTGTGTGTAGTTGAAAAATAGAGAAGGACTAACGATGTGGTGGAGGACTGAGAAGGGTATGGAAGTGTAGACAGCGAATATGGTTGTTTGCTAACACCTGTATCATAAGCAAGAAGGGCATGGAGGAACCGGGCATTGCTTGTTGATGTTTCGCCTAAATAGGTTAAGCGTATGTTTTTTCCCGCGCGACCGCGTCCTGTCCATGGCAACCAGATGGTCTCTCTGTGTGACCGCTCTAATGTTTTTTCTTTTACGCCTCAAGAGCTTGGAGTTGCTCTTCCACATCACTTCCTCAACATCTCTTGATATCAATCATCTTTCAACGTCCCAAAGATGGCCAACCCGTATCCGAACCGTTATTCACAGCATTTCCGGCAGCCATCTGCCTCGGGGTCATCTGGTATGGGAGGATCTCAACAATCTCCTGCGTTGTCTGCCCGGATAAACGAGAAGAAGCAAGAACTTGAGAATCTACAAGCTCTACGGGATTTATCAGCGGGGTTAGCATCACAGATGCAACAATTGGAAGAAAAGCTGGGAACACTAGCAGACGGAACAGAAGGTTACTATCCCCTACCAATCTCAGATCGATAAATGCTAATAAGGTTGGTTGTACAGCTGTTGCCGCAGTGTTATCCAATTGGCACAACGTTCTACGAGCTATAGCTATGGCTTCTTGTGAGTTACTAGAAGTGTGATAACAATGAGGGATCAAGTGCTTACTGTTGTAGCTAAAATACCCATACCGAAGGACCCCGCAGCTGACGACAACCCGTTCGCACCTACGAAGAAAACGGATGAAAACGAAGACCTAGGAAAGGATGGAAATGGCGTCCCAATGCCACAGACACTCGTCAGGATCCCGGTACTACCACAACCATCGAAATGACCTACTGGATTGGATTATATGAGATCGCCGCTCTTTTGTGTTGGTCGGAAGCTTATTCTCGGTTTGAAGGTGTGGTTGATCGCATATGATTGGAGTTTGGAGTTTTGATTAATCGCCCATAAAGATCGAGATATCCTTGGATAAAGGGAGTAATACATTCCACCTCCTTGACGTTTTGAATCCCCTCTCCCAAAAAATGTAATATCACGTGATTGAGTGACTAAACCCTAATGACATCAGCCCTGAAATCCCCCACACTTTGGAGGAAACATTTCCCCCTTCTTTCCCCTCAAACCGTGCCTCTATTCGAAGCTCTCCATTACCACAATTGACACACCATCTCCCCCCCACGATTCCAAATAGCATACAATTTACGTTACTAAATTAACTGGACAAGGCTTTGTTAACAAGAGCAATGGCCGACCACTCACACTCCCACTGCCACGACGAACACTCCCACGGCCACGGAGAGGGTGCGCATGACCACTCCGGTTTGTGCCTCCCTAAACTCCATCATAAAGCGGAATCCAATATGCTAACTTTACAGACGACGTCACACCCGCCATTCAATCCTCTCTCTACAAGCACATAGACTTTGACAAGATAACCACTCTGAACGAAGCTACTCCCGGCAGCGGACGAGATGTCGTTAGGAAATCCTGGGAGGACCGGCTCGCCGGCACCCCCACCGTCGAAAGTGATGCAGACGAGGAGCTCTTAATGTTCATCCCGTTTGTACCCCTTCCTCCCCACCCGACTGACTAACAAACAAACAATCGGGGGATATTAAGAAGACAATATCAGGTTTACCGGCCTCGTAAAGCTCCACTCAATCCTCATCGGCGCGAACCCCGGAATCTCTGCCCCGAAAACCTTGAAGCTCTTTTCAAATCGCGACGATATGGACTTTACTTCTGCTAGCGACACACAAGCCGTACAGACACTGGATCTCCCAGTGCCGCCTCCCGGAAATGACAGGGTTATGGAGCTCCCAGTGAAGCGAGCGTTGTTCAACAATACTAGATCCCTGACTCTCTTCTTTGAGAATAATCACTCGGATGGGGAGGAAGTTACGCAGATTACATATTTGGGGTTTAAGGGGGATTTGACTGAGTTGAAGAAAGAGCATGTCGTTACGCTGTATGAGGCCGCTGCAAACCCAGCGGATCATAAGAACTTGGTCCCAGGTGCGAAGTATGGTTCTTTAGGGTTGGGCGGGAGACAGGGCGATGGGTTTTAACGTGATGAGAGAAAGGGTGCAGTTTCTTAAATTTTCGGCTGAGGTCAATGCTTGGTCGGTTCAGTTTGTCAAAAGGTCTTTGAAAGGTTGTCTCGCGGTTTGTATTATTCATTCTAGCTGGGCTATTATCTTGAGCGGGGAGTTCTTAGGAGGTTCTCTCTCTCTTTAAGGTCCGGCCCTAGCATATGCGTTGGCGATGCTTTTTTTGCGTCCCTTTCTTGAGCGTGCGTTTTTAGGTATCATGCTTCTCTTGTTCTTCTCAATAACCAACCTGGCATTCATGAAAGGCAAATACCCTAGAACTAGCATGCCACCCCTCTAGATCCATCAATTCGCACCTCATGTATTCGCAATGCCAGGGAGCATGATATGAAAGAAAATGAAGCCCAATCGCCATTGAAGACGGAAAAAATATACATATTTAGACTATCAACGTCTTGCCGAACTTCCCGGTTCGGCTATGAAGGGACTTCGCCGTTCTTCCTAAATGTGACCTTCTCGACCCCGACGCTCTCGACTCCCTTCTCGTCTGTCCGAAGTTGGTAGACATAGAGCACAAGGACACTTCCTTGGACCTAGAGATAGTTAGACCCGGCCCCAACCCCCATAGCTGTTAACCGGAACCAAAATTAAACTTACATCCATCAAGCAGAAACTGGGGACAATAGGCTCGTCTGTTGAAACCCACCCACCAGAGATGGCACCAGTTGCAGATCCTACACCCAATCAGCACCCTGTTTTCCAATCTCTAAGCCTCCAAAATCCCTAACCTGGGTTAATGAAGAACCTCCCCTCAAGCTCATACGCCTCAAATCGATGGGTACCACCCCAAACCAGCACATCACAATCAAGTCTCCTTGCTTCAATTAGCAATGAATCACTATCGCCCTGTGGTACAATGGTATGGCCGTGGGTAAACCCAATACGCAGATTCCCATGGGTGACGACTTTCGACAGTGGAAGGTTGGCAGCTTCCGTGTCGAAATCGCCCTTGACAATCTGTAACTCTGGAGCCACACTTCGAAGGAAATCATAAGTTTCTTTGTCTGTCAGGTTCCCTAAGCAAAGGATTTGTCCGATCTTTCCGGGGGAGAGAAGTTTGCGGAACTGGAAATTGTTAGATGGCGGGGTTGGAGGGGTAGCTGGACTAGGGTGGGAGAGAAAACACCTTGGCTGGAATGTCCTATAAGGGAGTTAGTTTACCTAATACTCGAACAGCCTTGGGAGGTTAAGGAGAGGTGTTACCGGAGCTCTATCTGGGATATGGAGATCTCCTATGCAAAGAACTAATCGGGAGGCCATTCGATACCAGAATATTGCTTAGTTTGGTTGCGGGTCGTCTGTGTGTTAAACAATTAGCTTGACCACCAAGAAGGCATGAAAAAGCAAGGCGAATCACTGGCTATCTTTGGATTGGCTCCGGTAAGAGTATTGGTTGGTGGTGGAGGTGGTGGTGGCCACGAAATACAGTACCGGTACATATCACTATTTGAATACCGCCTCTCAAGCCATTGAACTTATGCCCCTAAAAGTTAAGATAAGGTTACCCGGAAGATCTCCACATCACGTGAACCCGGCCACAATCCAAATCTCCAGTGAACAGCAAACATCTTGTCACAGGGCATGTCGTCTCGGCATCGCGTTTATCGGTATCCTCACTCGGCCGCATCCTGTTACCGTACTGCAATCTCGTCTCTATTGACATATCACATCTACAAGTACCGTACTGTAGATACCGGTAGTATCAAAAGCGGTATTTTTAGAGGACAAAAAATGCAAATTCTCTGCAATAAAAAGATATTACTAGTATGCTGTTTCGATATAGTGTTCTGGTTCTCACAGTCTCAGCGTATTTACACTTTCTAAGAACCCTCAATGCTAACATATGAAAATGTCATATTATATTGTATGCAGTTATAAGAAAATTCCTGAACAGGTTGTTCTCTATACCTCATCACAGGATCCCTTATTCCAGTTAGTACTATACAAGGTTGCTATAATTATTATTATTATAAGATTATATAATACTATAGTAAATATTAAACCAATATTGCACTATTTTAGAAAATTATTTATGCTCTTCTTTTTTAACTTCACATTATTTCTATTATTCTACTTATATTATTAGGACTCTAGTTATAAAATGAGCATGTGTTAATAGAAAATACACTCTTGGACAACAACTACAAAATATTTATTTTTGCTTCACCATCTAGCTTGAGGTGTAGAGTATATATCTAATAGTTTAAAAAATATTTTTATAGTAATGACCTCTCTAGCATCCTCTATATGCAAATTTTTTTTCTTTTTTTTTCAAAATCTACTTTTTAGTATATTATAAAATAACTTCAACTTCTGAGGTATAAGTACATGTTAGGAGTACCGAGACCCGATATCTAAGAACCACCCTAAGTAGGGTAACCCCAATTGGAATCAGAATCTCTGGTTTCCAACACTTCCCTTCAGCCCTCTTACGGGACCCATATGTCATTATACATATTGATCTGTTAGGAATACCAGAACCTGATACCTAGGAACCACCCTAAGTAGGGTAACCCCACTCGGAATCGGAATCTCTGGTCTCCAACACCCCCCTCCAGCTCCCTTACGGGGCCCACGCATCATCATATATATAAATCTCAGTTGTGTCCTGTGACTATATTACCACAGAATTGAAGGTATTAAAATAATACCATATATGTTGTTGCCGTCTGTCCGACCGGATCCTGTTCGCAGGATATATGAGAGGAGACCTTCGGCTAAGTCTGGGAAGTGGAACGGAGTGATTCCGTCAACTACTCAGAGAGTTACTTGGCTTCAAACACATGATACCTTTGGCATGGGCCATAGGTAACAGGACGATTTTGTACAAAGAGATGATATCAAGCGGTAAAGGATCTCTACTAGAGACTAATACATTTACATCTGCCAGAAGAGTCTAGAACTCTAAAAAGACACTACCAAAGAAGCCAATGAACTTCACGGAGTGTTGCAACTGGGTTTCGAAATACGTCGTAGCCATGGGGTGATTCTCAATACTACAATGGTTACTGAAACCTACTATCCAGAGAGCAACCAAGGGTTGCTGACCGAGGGATTAATTACCAATCTGGTGGGATAGCTTCCTGCAAGTTAATAGGAAGTCATCTAGAGAAAATATATCAGTTGAGTATGGAGTTACAAAGGATTGGAGTCAGATGACCTACGATAGTTGTAAGGACGACCACCTTTGCAGATAAAGCCGTGGATAAAACTGATCATTTTATCAATGGCAAAGACAATTGGAGCCAACTCATTTCGACTTAAGAACTAGGCCATAAGTCTAAAGACTCTGCTAATCGAGATATTACTATTGGGGACAGTACGTTTTCTAAGAAGAAATATCGTAATTACCAAAGAGGGTGTGATGGTTTTCAAGGTCCACAGGTGTTCGCACCTTGGAAGAAAACTCGACGTTGCAAATTACGATTGAAGAAGTACATAGTTGTATGATAAATAGATGTAGTCCATGAACACTCAGATGTGGAATATAAATATCGAAGTGCCTCCCAAGCTTTAGACATCATCAAGCAACGGAGAAGAGACCTTAACAATATAATATTGTTTTTATAATTCTACCCTACTTTACCTATTTTACTTCACTCCTAGCAGTCATAAATAAAACAAGCCAAGTCCGAGCCTTCCTAGACAATCTCTGTCTACAAAAACGAATCTCAATTGGCCTAGACAACCTTGAATTCTATCCAGTTGTCTCCGCCTAACATGATCTTAGTTGCATAACTCAATAGAAATATTATGTGACATCTTTCTAAAGGTCATATGTTTAACTCCTGTTGTCAAAGTTATTTCTGGTATTGAGTTATTTTCTACCGATGCTACTTATAACTATAAGGCTCCCTGCATGACTGTTAGGTGGAGACAACTTGATATACTTCAAGATTGTCTAGGCCAATCGAGATTCGTTTTTGTAGACAGAGATTGTCTAGGAAGGCTCGAACTTGGCTCGTTTCGTTTATGACTACTAGGAGTGATGTAAAGTAGGTAAAGTAGGGTAGGATTGTAAAAACAATATTATATTGTTAAGGTCTCTTCTCCGTTGCTTGATGATGTCTAAAGCTTGGGAGGCACTTCGATATTTATATTCTGCATCTGAGTGTTTGCTGACTACATCCATTTATACAACTATGTACTTCTTTAATCGTAGTCCACAATGTCGAGTTTTCTTTCAAGGTGCGAACACCTGTGGACCTTGAAAACCATCACACCCTCTTTGGTAATTACGATATTTCTTCTTAGGAAACGTACTGTCTCCAATAGTATTATCTCGATTCGCAGAGTCTTTAGACTTATGGCCTAGTTCTTAAGTCGAACTGAGTTGGCTCCAATTGTCTTCGCCATTGATAAAATGATCAGTTTTATCCACGGCTATATCTGCAAAGGTGGTTGTCATTATAACCATCGTAGGTCGTCTGACTCTGATCCTTTGTAACTCCATACACAACTGATAGATTTTCTCTGGATGACTTCCTATCAACTCGCAGGAAGCTATTCCACCAGATTGGTAATTAATCCCTCGGTCGGCAACTCTTGGTTGCTCTCTGGGTAATAGGTTACAGTAACCATTGTAGTAATGAGGATCACCCCATGATTACGACGTGTTCCGAAACCCAGTTGCAATACTCCGTGAAGTTCGTTGGCTTCTTTGGTAGTATTCTTTGGAGTTCTAGACTCTTCTGGTGGATGTAAATATATTGGTCTCTAGTAGAGATCCTTTACCATTTGATACCATCTCTTGGTGCAAAATCGTTCCATTACTTATGGCCCGTACCTAAGGTATCATGTCTTTGAAGCCTAGTAACTCTCTGAGTAGTTGATGGAACCACACCATTCCACTTCTCAGACCTGGCCGAAAGTCCCCTCTCATAAACCCTGTGAACAGGATCTGGTCGGACAGACGGCGGTGACGTATATGGTGTTATTCTAATACCTTCAATTCTGTGGTAATATAGTCACAGGAGGCAACTGAGATTGATATATATGATGACGTGCGGGCCCCGTAAGGGAGCCGGAGGGGGGTGTTGGAGACCAGAGATTCCGATTCCAAGTGGGGTTACCCTACTTAGGGTGGTTCCTAGGTATTGGGTTCTGGTATTCCTAACAATGACAAACCAAGAACCTTTAACTGAAGGGTTAAGATTCTATCCTATAGAAGTGCTTCTCCTCTACACGAGGATTGATATTGGATATAAATTTGGTAGCTGGATCAGAAGATATTGAGCTTCGAAGTAGGTGACCTAAGAAGGTTGCATACAAAGCTTTACAGAGTTAATGACTGCGGAATTATATGCCAATCTGGTAGAATAGCCTCTTGTGAATTAGTAGGAAGTCATTTGGAAGATATCTGTAGGTTAGATAAGGAGTTATGAAGGTTTGAAGTTGGTGACCTAAGATGGTTGCATCTATGACTACTTGTAACGTGTTCGCAGGGTGCTAATCACGTTATCGGGAATAGATACGATAGTTGGCAGGTGGCCTACTCTTCCAGAGAGGAGGCGAGAGCTGAGAACTAAAGGAGGCTTCGAGGGTGTACTGGGGAACAAAGAAGTAACTGTTCAACCAAGTATATTGAAATACTGTCTGTTGAAGTCTGCCTTTTCTATCATAGAAACAGGCGGTCTTTAAATACACAAATCTGTTCATGTCTAGCATGAACGAAACTAATCAAAGGTATCAATCGATACACTTTGGTAAAACTCCTTAAGTATCAAAGCGATACTTAAAATAAAACATAAAATAAAACCAAGTATCAAACGATACTTAAAACAAACCAAGTATCAAAGCGATACTTAAAACAAAACATAAAACAAAACCAATAACCAAGTACCCGTACCGGTTACACTACTCCTGCAGACACGACCTGCAGATGAAACTGATCATTTCATCAATACCTTGAGACAATTGGAGCCAACTTAGTTCAGCTTGAGAACTAGGCCATAAGTCTAATAACTCTGAAGATCGGATAATTGCTATTAGAAATAGTAGGGTTCTCAATTGTCAAAATAGTAATTACTGAAAAGGGTATGATGGTTTTCATGGTCTCCTAATATTCGCACTTCAGAAGAATACCTGACCTTGCAAGTTATAGTTAAAGAGGTATATAATTTGTATGAGAGATAGATGTAGTCCGCAAATACTCAGATATGGAATATACATATCAAAGTGTCTCTTAAGCTTTTGGACATTATCAAGCAACAGAGAAGACACCTTAATAATATAATATTGTTTTCACGATTCAATTCTACATTTTCATACTGTTAGTAGTTATAAACAAAATGAGTAATCCTCTGAGCCTTCCTAGACAAATATCTGTCTACAAAATGAATCTCAATTGGCTTAGATGATTCTGAATCTATACAGATCATCTCTGCTTAAC